CCCCCCGTCACCGCCACGATGGCTCCCTGGGCATGGGGGACACCGTGGGGATGGGGACACCGTGGGGGCACCACAGGGACACCATGGGGATGGAGACACCGTGGGGACACCATGGGGTACAGGGTTGGGGATACCATGGAAATGGGGAGACCAATGGGGACACCATGGGGACACCACAGGGGACAGGGTTGGGGACACCATGGAAATGGGGACACCATTGGGGGCACCATGGGACACCACAGAGTACATGGGCACACCACAGGGATGGGAGCACCACAGGACATGAGGACACATGGGACATGGGGACACCATGGGGACATCATGGGGTACAGGGTTGGGGACACCATAGAAATGGGGACACCATTGGGGGCACCATGGGGGCACTGTGGGGATGGGGACACCATGGGGGCACCATAGGCTACAGAGTTGGGGACACCATTGGGGGCACCATGGGAACACCACAGAGTATAGGGTTGGGGACACAGAGTACATGGGGACACCATGGGGATGGGAACACCACAGGATATGAGGACACACGGGACATGGGGACACCATGGGGACATCATGGGGTATAGGGTTGGGGACACCATGGAAATGGGGACACCATTGGGAGCGCCACGGGAATGGGAACACCACAGGACATGAGGACACATGGGACATGGGGGCACCATTGGGAGCACCACGGGGATGGGGACACCACGGGACATGAGAGCATCATGGGGCAAAGAGAAGGTGGCACAATGGCCATGTGGAGGTGAAGGGGTGCAGGAGCACCCCAAAATGGGAGCTGGGGGTGTCACCTGTCTCTGACAGCCCTCAACGATGATGAGTTTCTGCTGCGGCGACGTGCGGGCGAAGACGATCTCCGTGTGGTTCCGCAGGATCTCGTCCAGCTGCTCCGCGTTCATGTCCTTCAGGTCTGAGCCATGCACCACGCACGCCTTGGCCTCCCTGTGCCCAGATCGGGGGGCTCAGCACCCCCAAATCCCTGGGGGACCCCAAACCCCCTGGGCAACCCCAAACCCCCTCCCCAGCTGCTCCAAGCTCATGTCCTTCAGGTCCAACCCATGTGCCACACAA